GTTCTGGGATTCTGTGTTTTTCTTCCTCTGTTGGGGTCAACACACAACCCAGGGGCTACAGCTCCCTCTGGAGACGTTTGCTTTCACTGAAGTGCTCAGGAGGCTGCAGGAGCTGAGGTTTCTTGAAGTGAAATAGTTCCTGGGCTTTCTCTCTGTAGCAGTGATGTAAATATTAATAGCTTGATAAGTATTAATAACTTTATTAATAGCTTGATTCTATGTACGCATCCAGTCTTAGGCTAAAACAAGGAATGCAGAAAGTGTCTTATTGATGACACAAAAGCAAGGGAGGGGAAGAATTAGCAAATCTTGCTGTGATAACGTCTCATGCTGTTCTTGTCTTTTGGGTTTTTCTTTGTTTCTAGGGCCACGTGAAACTCTCGGATTTTGGTCTGTGTACTGGACTGAAGAAAGCCCACAGGACAGAATTCTACAGAAACTTGAACCATACTCTGCCGAGTGACTTCAGTAAGTTGTTTGGTTCAGAAGGTGTTTGAGTTCTTGCTTTTGGTGCCTGATATAACTCATTTCAATGTCAACATTGCTTCTTGGGGTGTACCTTGGATTTTCTATAAGACTTCTTTATAAAAAATAATTTCAGTTAATTTAATGTCCATAAACAGATTGTTAGGGCGATGGTTTTGGGGTAAAAGTGTATGTAGTAGGATCCAGTCATGTATATCCCAATCTCTTTTAGCTTTCCAGAACATGAATTCCAAAAGAAAAGCAGAGACTTGGAAGAGAAACAGGCGGCAGTTGGTAAGTGTGGTTCACCTGCTTGGAAATGTGCTCTGCTGAGCTGCTGCATTCGAATGGCACGTGAATTTAAATGTATGTGAATGCCAGGCGTTAATCTGTTCCAGAGTCTGAACAGTGCTGAAGTAATGAAATAATGATAATTAATGATGTTCCTTTTAAAAAGAGGAGTGACTCTCGTTTGTCCTTCATCCCTCTGGTGACATCTGTGCCTCAGATAGCGCTGCCATAGTTATTTACATTGACATCTGGTGTCTCCAAGCTAAACCCAACACTTCTTACAACTTGCAGTGTCACAGAGGGCCGATGACCCATTCCAGGGTGTCCACAGGCCATGGTACCTTTCTCTATTTCCCTCATGGTATTTAATTCTTTCACATGAATGCGATGCTTTAGTCTCTACTTACACAGAATCACAGAATGGCTCGGTTGGAAAAGCCCTCTGAGATCATCACGTCCAACCGTTCCTGTCTATCCCCTAAACCATATCCTTAAGTACCTCATCTACCCGCTCTTTAAACACATCCAGGGATGGTGACTCCACCACCTCCCTGGGCAGCCTGTTCCAGCTTCTGACGACCCTCTCAGGAAAGAACTTCCTCCTTATCTCTGACCTGAACCTCCCTTGGCACAGCTTGGTGCCGTTTCCCCTTGTTCTACATTGAATTCAAGGCTCTGAACAACTTTTGCTAAAGGACTTTAGAGACAATCTGGTGTCTTCCTCAAAGCAGCCGTTGTTGCAGAAGTTCCCACGCTGTGTCGGGCAGGTTTCTCTAGAGATGTGTAACTGATGGGCTTTGTTGCAGGCGTTTTCTACCGTGGGCACTCCGGATTACATCGCCCCTGAGGTGTTCATGCAGACGGGATACAACAAACTCTGTGACTGGTGGTCGCTGGGGGTCATCATGTACGAGATGTTGATCGGTACGAAACCCGCACCGCATGTGTTTTAAGCAGGAATTGTGGTGTAGACTTCAGTAACTCCAAGAACTGGTTTTGCTTTCTACAAGACTGTGTTTTTCTCTCTTTTCAGGTTACCCACCGTTCTGTTCTGAGACTCCTCAAGAAACCTATAAGAAAGTCATGAACTGGAAAGAGACTCTCACATTTCCTCCCGAAGTTCCAATATCTGACAAAGCAAAGGATCTTATTTTAAGGTGCCAACCATATGGTTTGCCACTCAATACAGCCCTAACTTCCTTGTCTTGCCAGCTGTACCGTGTGCCTCTCATAGGTTGTTTCACATGAAAAAAAACCCCTGATGCTTGTGACAGCCACGTACTGCACACGCATCAAATGCTGAACTCCCTCGTCAAACACATTTGTGTCTCAGGTGTCATTTGGTGGAGCCCTGTACTAAAAAGCAGCTCCCGCGTAAGCGCTGCTAATCTGGCAAAATGGAAATGTTTCTGCTCTTTGTTTTGTCTGTGAGCTCCTCATAAAAGCAACTTAAATCTTTGTGCCTGAGAGAGCTGCTGACAGTAACGATGGTTTAGACACCGCACGCACTGGAGCGTACAGACGTAGCCCAGCGCATGCTGACTCTTGCTCTTTCATTTATACCTTCAATCACTTCTCTATTCTCAGGACAGAAATAGAAACGTCTAGCTTTTTAGGCTTTATATGTTCTCCTGCTCTGCGCTTGTCCTGAAATAGAAAGGGCACATGATCGTGTCGTGAAAGAAAACCACATCGTAATTGTAGCATTTGACATGACATTCCTAAGCATGACTGTGTGTGTTGGCTTTGCAGTGGGAGTTCTTGACCTTCTCCATTTATATGTTAAGAAACCGTAGCAGTGTCGGTTCAGAAAGCCGCTCCATTTCTGGATGGGACGCTTTCGTTTTCATTCTTCCCTTCATTTTCATTCTTCCTTCCATCCCAGATTTTGCTGTGAGTGGGAGCACAGAATTGGTGCACCTGGTGTGGAGGAAATAAAGAGTAACCCATTCTTTGAAGGGGTTGATTGGGAGCACATCAGGTAAGATGCTTTGCAGAAAACCAAGCTGCTCTTCTCTATAGACTCTTTAAAACCTGTCCTGTTCAGCAGAAGAGAGCAGCTCGACTGGCATTTATCGTATCCAGGTGTGGGTGAGAGGATTTGTTCCTTACCTGAGGCTTGCCAAGGTTTAGGTACCTTCAGTCTTTGTTAAGAAATGGAAAGTGGCTGAATTCTGCTTGCTTCTGCCTTTGAAATCGTAACGCTGAATCCTCTTCTCTTGGCAGAGAGAGACCTGCTGCGATTTCGATAGAAATTAAAAGTATCGACGATACCTCAAACTTTGATGAATTTCCAGAGTCTGATATACTTAAACCAACAGGTAAGCAGTCCTTCCCCTTTCCAGTGAAGTGATGTAGCTTTGCTGTTAATCAGAGCAGTAACTAAACACTACATTTTTGTGACTGTGCCTCTGAGAGGCAGCAGAGCTCCCAGGAGGTTCAGGTCTCAGCGGGACCTGCAGTACCCCTTGGTCCTGCCTAAGTCTTGCTGGGGTCTCACACTTGGTCCAGGTGGGACAGAAGGGGACAACACGTTTTGGTGTTATTCTCTAAAGGATCCTTGTATTTATGTGTCAAAACGTGGTCACACCTTTGCTCCACGTGTTTAAAAAGCACCTCGCAGCCCTTCTTGAGTGCGGTTGAAGGATGAAACCCAACACCCAGACTGAGGATGTTTCATTTAGAAGCATTTTCCCCTGCTCCACATCCGGTGTTTTGTATGAAATTAAACTCTGCAGCCTTCCAAGGATAATTATGGTTATTTCTATGTCTTACCAGTGGCTACAAGCAACCACCCAGAGACCGACTACAAGAACAAGGACTGGGTTTTTATCAATTACACCTACAAGCGCTTTGAGGGCCTGACAGCCCGAGGAGCGATACCATCCTACATGAAAGCAGGGAAGTAGAAACCTTTACCTGGGACTTCTTCTGAGCCATGGATTTCTGTTCCCGTACTTTGGGTTTGCACCCGTAGAAGAACTTGTTCTTTTTTTAAAGAAAACCTGAGGGCTGTCGACTCTTGGGAGACTTCAGGACCCCGTTTTGTTACGTGCCCCGGTGTTCCTAAGGATTTTTTTTTCTTTCTGCGCCATTGAAAGACTCCACAAAAACGTTTGCGTCGTCTCTGCTGCGAGCGCATTTTGCTGCTTCAGGAGCAAGAGGTTGTTTTCTTTTGAAATTCCTTGGTTGGACAGCCCAGCGGGAGACGAGAGCAAGGCCTCGCTTGGACACCACGGTGTTCACAGGGACTGCTTCGCCAGTCGTGCACCAAGTGACAAACTCACTCTGCCAATTCTGCCAGCGCCGTTTCCCAGTGGGTGAGGACTTCAGTCCGGAGGAAACAAAGCAATAATGAAAGCTCGAGACAGACACCTCTCCAGTCGAAGGACACAACTGGTATTGCCTTAACCTTAGTTTGTAGTGCTGGTTTTTTATCATGCTACTTGGAAGCCTCTTGAATAGCATTTCTCAACTCCAGTTGTGGTGCACTTTACTTTTGGTACTAAGACAGTGACCCCCAAGCCATTCAGTGTTTGGTGTTTTTTTTTTTCTAAATTAAAAGAATCGTGCAACGCTTTTGAAATATTTTCTAGACGGCGATAGGAGAAACGGGGCCACTTCCTCCACCAGGCACCACCAGATTTCAGTTACTGCGTGAAAGGATGGATCTATAAACCATGCAGATAATAACTACAGCTGGTAACACATCTGGAATGAGGGCAGAGGGGGAGGGAGATCCATTTAACCTGATCCTTGGTGGGCATCTTGTGCACAGCTGGGTCAGCCCTGTGGCTCCCTGTTCCTGCCGCTGCTGCCATCTTTTGGCCACTGCCAAAATCTGCTGCATCTTCATGGGTTTAAGGACAAAAAGCATCTTTTTGCTGGTTGGTTTTGAGCAGAACAGGATCAGGTGTTTCTGAGTCTTGCTGCCTCTTCCTTACAGAGCTCCTCTCGCTGTCGGGGCTGATCCAAGTGTCCCCGTGGTCCTTTCCCAAAAGGACAGCGCCTCGTGCAGTCACTTTTGGGGCAGCAGAAGCCACTGTGTCCACTCTTGGATTATCCCTGGTGTAATTTCTAGATGTGCATTGAGTTACGACCAAGGCTGCTCTCCAGGAGAGCCCCAAAGTGCCTTTCCTCGCCTGAGCATCTCAGAACACGACTGCATTTTGGGAAGGAGGATTCTGCCTCAGCTGAGCTTTTGATAATTCCCTTTTCCAATCATGAGCTCCACTTTGCGCGTGGTTTGTTGGTAAATCTGCACTTCCAGGGGCAGGAGACATCAACCTCGCCTGGTTCCAGTCTTGTAACTTGCAAGTAGATTTTTTTAAAATAGAAATCTCATGAAGTCTGGATCAATGTGAACTGTCTTGGATTCTTGCAAACTTTTATTGGTGCTGAACACTACATAGCACAGACGAAAAGTTGTTTCGAAACAAAGCTTGAGCAGCGTTTCCAAGCAAAAAAGGAAGGCTTTCAGTTACATTTAGTCCTAACTTTCTAGATTAGGAAGTGAAAGGCAATGAGTTTGTAGTGCAGCTTGTTTTAATAGGTGCTTTTAGGGAATTTTGACCTAAATGTTTTTGAACCGAGTGCCATCCTGAAGGGACAGACTGGGGCATTGCAAGTACCACATCCAGCTAAAATGGGGTGTCGCTCGTTAGCATCCTCTCCCTAATGACCCCTGTGCTGTTTTGTGCGTGTGTCCTAGAGTTGCCATAAGTGGTTTAGATACCAGTGGGGTCCTACAGAGCTGAAACGCAAAAAAATAGCCTTAATTTGGTGTACCAGGATCTCTGCAGTCACAGTAAGGGCTTACTGGAGTACTGATTTATAGCACCAGGCTTTTTATCAACCTCTCAGCAGCATCACCTGCTGCTCCCTTATTTTCTATGAAGGACTGGTACCAACTTCTCCAATCGCTCCATCTCCTTAGCCTGCAGTTTCCTCTTGCCATTTGAAAAAGTTGCCTTATAAACCATTGGAAAACTTCAAGAGGTATTAATAGCAAAACCGGTTTTTAACAGCTTCGTTACTGCCTTAAATTAAAAATAAAATCTTTCAAGCTGCTGTGGATTAGGAAGAAATGATTTTGAGTAGCTGCATTTTACTAAAAGGGACTGGCTTTTTAATTTCTAAATACCAAAGATGAGGAAGCCCTGCAATTGTGAGCCGTGATAACTTGCTGTGAAAAACACCTCTGTAGTAACGTGTACGGTGCGTTTGCAGTGCATGTGTTTTAAAAGTCACCCGAATTCTCAGACTGCTCACTTCTGGAGCTGAAGGTGAAGTTTTCAATGGCCCGAGGAGCAGCTGGGTGCATGGCTGCTGTATTTCAGTACAGCTTGGATGTCTCTGCAGACCTGGGTCCTCTTGGTCCGACGTAAGCTCTTCACCAGGAAAGCTGCAGCATCTTCCCAGGACCTGGGCTTCCCTGCTGACAGTGAAGATGTTGGATGCCTGTTCCACTCCCCTGGTAGCCAAACATTTTTCCCAGCCGCTGGCTTGGGTACTGAGGTCGTATGTAGCTTTTAGCTCTTTTGTTTTTAGGCTGCAAGCAGTTGCTGGACTTTAGGAGTCGTTTCAATCCGGATTCCCAGTGGATCTGACCGGGAGTTACACTGCCAGTTCACCTCCGTATCACGCCGAGCACAAAACCGCACTGAGCCTTTCTTATCACTGTGCCCTGACTCTGCCTTAACCTCCAAGTGGAAAAAGTGTTCTGTAAATATCCAAAAGCTGTTACTGAATTGCACTGTAACATTTTGCCGAGTGCATTTGTGTGTTGCCGGGGGGAGCCAACTTTTTATGGAACGATCTTTGCATTGTGTTGTGTAAATAAAATCCTCTGAGGAAACCCCGTTTTGCTGGTTGGTTTTTACAAACTCTCAGCGTTTTGGGTGGGTTGTTTTTTTTTTTCAGGCTTTAAGGCCTCAATTCTAAAATCAGTTTCGGGTGGGAGAATGCAATGGAAATTCATGGGTTTGTGCATTTCCAGAAGCTGCACAGCAGCCAGGAAGAGATGAGCACCCTGGTAATGATCTGGAGAAAAATGGAGCCTTTCTGGGCAGAAAGTGCACGGACAACCCTGGCCTTCCTCATGCTGGGTGTCTGCGCTGTGTAAATGTCACTTCAGTTTACCCACTTGTGGGCAAGTTGTTTTTAATCTCTTTCCATTTTTAAGAGGGATAATAAGCAGTGAGCAAGTGACCATTTTTTCCTAGCAGTTTGCAACGTGCCAAAAGCAGCTTGAAGTTCTTGTTCATCGCTTCACATTTGCGACAGCTCCGCTTACGAGTACGAATTCCTGTTACCACCTCGGTAATTGGACTGAATTCCACCTTCTGCACAAACTCATTTAAACGCCTTTATCAAGACAACCCTTGAAATAAATCCCAACAGTGAAGCTGGAAAGAAAAAGCCAGAGCTGCTCCCACGCTGTTTTCTTCCAAAGCCAGAAGCAGGCAGAGGTGCAGAGCATCTTTCACAGCACAATAACCAAAAATGGGGCTGGTAGAGATGCTGCATAGTTTGTGGGTTAAGTAGTGGTGCCTCGTACCTGTGCTATGTGCTGCTTTCAGAGCATCACTGCAATGAGGTGGTAAACTCTTGAGTAGCGCTTCCACGCAGCTGCTGCACAACGTCCCTGCTCCATCCGGTGCAAAACTACAAAGACTTTGGGGTCACAGTGCTCATTTAGGAAGGAAAACCTTGTAGCACCCTATCCCCTGCCCATTCTCCTCCTCCACGTTTAAAATGGTTTTTAAAAGAGCCAAAGAAGCCATATATAATTTATACTTTTAATACAGGAAGGAAACGGTACATCTGTAGTCGACAAACACCACAGGTAACACTTCAGTATGGCTGGAATAAAACAAAAGTTGACCTTGTGCCTGGATAGCGGTGACCAAGAGAGGAGGAAAAGCAAATCTTCTTCCATTTGGTTTAGTGTTGCAATGGAACTCGCTCTACTCAAAGATAAAACCCAAAATTCATCTCTAATTAGCTGGGAAAGCCAATCAAGTACAGCGGCTTTTTGGAGTGATAAAAACTGCACGGAAATCACAGAAGCCGGGTACCTCCATCCCCTGCTGCAGGTCCAGACCGATTACACAGAGTACCAGGAAGTTCCTACAAGGCACTGCCAACCCTTAACCCTCAGGCAAGGGCCTGGGGTCACTATTGCTACTAAATTGGCTGAATCCCTGCTGGCTCGGGGACAGACACTGGGGCCTTGATTTGGGCTGTCAGGTCCATGCGGGGCTGTCGATATCGGATGGTCCTCCACGCAGACCTGGAGGGCAGCACTCGGGAGCACGCACACATAAATCCTTACAGCAAAACGTGTGTAAACTGCAATCCTGAGTCAGCTGGTCAATGCCAATACACATTTATTGAAAACTTACACTGCTGTGAAAATAAATACACACACAGACACACACACAGAATGTATCTACGGGGCCTGGGGCAAGCTGCATCATCGCTGCGGGGACGGACTCACCTCTGCCTTTGCTTCGCTTGTGGGAATGGCTCGTTAGCAAGGCCAATGGGTCTGGGCTGGCCCTTGGCTGGAAGGTTCAGGGGCTGCTGTCTTCCTCTCTTTACTACAAAAATAGAAATTCGCCTGGAGCAGTAACGGGAAGCGATTGCACCATCTCTGTGCTGAAGGACACTTCTCTGGGCTCATCCGATGACGCACAGGGAGGGGTTTTCGGAAGCGGTCGGGGGGACGTGGGCATCTGAACCCCTAGGACTCGCGGGAGGGCCTGAAGCACTTCTGGAAATCTTCCCATAGGCACTTATAAAAAGAAGAAATCGATCTGCTGCACTTAGGAAAGAAGCTAAGAACAGAAACACTGCAAAGAATGGAAGCTGTATCCACATAAATGGGAACTAAACACATCAGCGA